AAAGAAATTGCACTTGTTGAGGTCACAGTGATGCTCACAGTTTTGGATTTTGGAATGTTTTGAATTTCATATTTTCTTTTTTTTTTTTTTTAAAGAGAGAGAGAGAGAGAGAGAGAATTTTTTTAGTATTTATTTTTTAGTATTCGGCAGACACAACATCTTTGTTTGTATGTGGTGCTGAAGATCGAACCTGGGCCGCACGCATGCCAGGCGAACGCGCTACGGCTTGAGCCACATCTCCAGCCCTCATATTTTCAAATAAGGGACACCTAACCTGTTCTAATCCAGAGAGGAAAAGTATGAGAAATAAGGTTTGCAGGGCAATGTGATCATAACTGTTGGGGGAAAGTCCTGAAGAACAGACCAAGATGGGGAGCTCAGCACTGAGGAGGAACATCAGGAAACCAGGACCAAAAYAGGGTTATTTATGCAAATACAGTTTTGAATTGCCATTGTAGCTGGCTGTGTAATCCATTCTGATCAATTTGCATTAAAAAACTTCTTTTAGTTGTAGATGGACACAATACCCTTTTTTTTTTTTTTTTTAATATGGTGCTGAGGATCAAACCCAGTTGGCACCCAGTGTGCCAGTCCTCTTCCTACAATGTGCTGTGCACAGAGTGGGTGCAGAACAGCCAGCACCTTGACCAGGTTTGGTGTTTAGTAATTCTCCAGGAGGATAATATGAAGGCAGCTGTTCCCAGAACTTCAGCATCCCTCCACTTTGGTGAGCATCTTTCAGACCACACATGTGCGAGGCAAACGCTCTGCCACTGAGCCACAACCCCAGCCCATGTGTTTGCATTTTTTTAAAGTCTTCTTTTTTTAGTCGTTGATGGACATTTATTTATTTAGTTATATGTGGTGCTGAGAATTGAACCCAGTGCCTCACACTTGCCTGGCAAGTGCTCTGCCACTGAGCTACAGATCCAGCCCCAGTGTTTGCCTTTTTTGATTAAAATATTTGGACATAGATTCTGTCAATTTATACTTCAGTAAGTGATTGTAAAAACTTTTTTTCCTAATGTTTGCAACATTGTTTTTTGTTTTTGTTTAGTGGTGCTGTGGCTGGGAACCCAGGGTCTCACACATGCTAGGCAAGTGTCCTACCACAGAGCTACATTTAGTACCAGTGTCTGTTTCCTTACATAGAAAAAAAAGTCTCCCATGTCAGGTTGAATAGCTAGYACAGTGGTTTCCTTATACACCTTTCCCACCTTCTGCTCCCGTTAGCATCTAACATTGCCCCAGAACAGTTATCCAGGTCCAGAAGGTACCAGAAGGAATGCTGATACGCCCCATCAGCTCATCTGGAGGCCCCTGAGATGTCACCAAGCTCCCGACACTGCCTTTCTCTTCTGGGCTGCATGCAGGGCCCCACTTTGTGTGGTTGCCCAGTGTCTCTCCTGGTTGTTCTTGACATTTTTTTTTTTTTTTTTTTTTTGGGAGGAGGAAAACTTTATTTGGTGCTTATGGTTTCAGAAGTCTCAATCCATAGGCAGTCAGCTTCATTGCTCTGAGCCCTAGAGGAGTCCCAAGTGTGTGGTGGAAGAAAGCAGGTTGGGACATGACATCAGGAAGTAGAGAAAGAGAGAGCTCTCAGCTCAGTAAGGACAAAATATACATCCCAAAGGCACATCCCCAGGCATCCAACTCCCCCAGCTGCACCCAAGTTGCCTAACAGTTACAACCAAATTAATCCCTAACAGGGCATTAATGCTCTGATTAGATTAAATTTCTTATAACTCAATCATTTGTCTCTGAACTTTCTTGCACTGAGCCTTTGGGAGACACCTAATACCTAGCATAACATTCTACCCACTGGCCTCCAAAAACTCATACTCATCTCACAATGCTAAATATATTTAGTTCATTTCCAAGAGAACCCATAGTCTCAACAGTTCCAGGATTGACCAAAAGTCCAAATCTGAAGTCATCTCTGAAACTTAAGGCAAACTCTCAGCATGAGCCCCTGTAAAAATCAAATCTAGTTACATATATCCCATATATAAAGGCACAAAGAAATGTTTCCATGTGAAGAAATAGGGGCATAGGAAGAAGGAATGGGACCAAAGTAAGACTAAAATCCAACTGAGCAAACAAGTCCTGTAGTTCCATGTCCAATATCTGGAACACTTGGAATTACGTATGATGTTCTCCCCAAAGAGCTTGTAGGTCTGCCCCTGTGGCATTGCTGGTTGCAACCCACATGGCCTCTGTCTTGGCTCAATTTCTGCAGCTTTCCTCAACAGCATTCATGGTACTGGCATCTCTTAATCTTGAGGGTCTCCACTGCAACTTTAACTTTGTCCTCACATCTCCATGCATCACCCTGTCAGGGGCAGCCCACAGAGACTGATCCTGCTGTACTTTGCCTGGCTTCCCAGGCCTTCCTTTGAAATCTCACTGGTAGCTTCCATGACCCCCCAACTCCAGCATCCTGTATTTCTGTAGAATCAGCACAATATGCTTGATGCCAGATTCTTCCACCATTTCTAGCAGTAGCCAAACCTCCAGGAACCACAACTGCAGCAGCCTCTTGAGTACCTGGGTGGCTCAGCATTGTTCTTGACACTTTTGAGAAAAACCTGTGAGGTCTTTTGGAGAAGGTCCCTCCTTTTGTGTCTGGTGTTTGTCATGATTAGACTGGCATAATGGGTCTTGTGGGTGTGCTCTATTCCTCCTTGGCCGATACCAGAAGGGACATGTTATCAATTTATTGTTTATTACTGTTAATGTACAAGAAATAGATGGGAGTATTGTTTTGTTATTGTTTTGCCTGTGAGTATCCAGTTGTTTCACCACAGTTTATCGCATAGACTATCCTTTTTCCGTGGAATTTCCTTTGCACCTTGTCGGAGCCTCATGGCAGTAAATCTGCATTTGGTTTCTCACTCTGCTCTGTGGGTCTGTGTCTCTCCTTTGGCCAACGCCATGATGTGGAGAGCACTGCAGATTCAGAAGTTGTCTTGACGATGCGCACTGTGAATCACATCTTGCTTTTCCATTTCCACGACTGTTGTAGCCATTCTGGCTTAATAGGGACTCTTAGATCACCTTACTTGTCATGGCTTCTCGGACTCGCAGTGGGCTGCGCAGGTCTGCGMGTCTGCCCAGCATCGGGTCTCCCGCGAGTGTGGCGAGTCTCTGCCTTCACCTGGGGCTTTGGCGATCCACAGTTTCCAGCATATAAGCCACAGACGTTCTTTTGGATTCATACGTACTTATAAATTTTCCTGCTATTTTAAATTGTACTTTTAGTTTCAAATTRTAGTTTTTCGTTGTTGATATATAACTGTAATTGATTTTGTGTATTTTAGGCTCCCTTTTAAATTCTCTTTTTTTTAATAGATTTTTAAAAAAATTTTCAGTGTAGACAGTCATCTGTGAAGAGAGACATTCTATTTCTCCCTTTTTTCTTGCCCAGTTTCACTGACCAGACCTACATGCTGGGCTGGGGATGTGGCTCAAGCGGTAGCGCGCTCGCCTGGCATGCATGCGGCCCGGGTTCGATTCTCAGCACCACATACAAACAAAGATGTTGTGTCCACCAATAACTAAAAAATAAATATTAAAAAAAAAAAAACAGACCTACATGCTGAGTAGGAGTGGCGAGAGAGGACACTCTGCTGTTCTCTGATCTAATGAGTAAACTTTCATTCTTTTACATTAAGTCTGATGTTAGCTGTAGATTTTTGGTTGATCCCCTGTGTGGGAAATCCCCCTTTATTCCTAGATTGCTTAGGGTTTTGGGCCAGGAAGGGGTATTGAGGTTTGTTAAACACTTCCCTACCTTGAGATGCATGTTCTTTCTCTTTTAATTCTGTTAATATGGTGAGATATGGTGATTGGGTTTTAAATGTTGAACCAGCCTTGTGTTCTTGCATAAGCATTGTGGTTTTAGTGTGTTTTAATTTTTATATGTGGCTGGATTCTGATGGYCAGTGGATGGTGGATTTCTGTCACTGTTTGTGGAGGTGTTGGTTTGCAGTTTTCTTTCCCTGCAGTGGCAGTGTGTGTGCTGAGAGGGGCTGGATATGGGTGGTGGTCTCGGTGCTGAGCTGATGGGCCTGTCTAGTTGGCACCCAGTGTGCCAGTTCTCTTCTTACARCGTGCACAGAGTGGGTGCAGAACAGCCAGCACCTTGACCAGGTTTGGTGTTTAGTAATTCTCCAGGAGGATAATATGAAGGCAGCTGTTCCCAGAACTTCAGCATCCCTCCGCTTTGGTGAGCATCTTTCAGACCACACTCTGGGAAATGGAATGGACACACAGCATGGCCTCGAGGAGATTGGTGATTTGGCCAGACACTCCCAGACTTGCCTGATGAGACAGAGTAACGTAAGAGAACAGATCCTTGTGAACAGAGCTGGCTTTACACACAAATGTGAGAAAAGGAGAACTGTAGAAGTACGTGGTTCTCATCTGAGCAAACTGATGTGGGATTCTGATGATTCTGTTCATTCTGATGATTGTCCAAAGTGTGGGGCTGGGCCTGTCGCTGTGGTTTTCTCTCACTGATCAGAGTGGAGCAGAACTCTCCTGATCCCGTAGGAAGTCCATCTCTACCCACTTTTGCTCCACAGGGAGCCCAGGAGACAATTCCAGTAGGAGCTCTTGGTTCCTTCCCCAGGCCTGCACCCAGAAGCACCGTCTCAGGCCCTCTCTGTGATTTTCAAGCATGTGTCCAGCTTCCTGCACTCATTTTATGAAGGTCGACTTAGATATGAGAATGTGGTGGTGGCAGGTTACCTGTGTTTGTGCTGGGCACGGTTAGCCTGGTTCAAAGCAGTTTTATTTATACCTGCAGTTGACTCAGCAGCGGGAGCTGGGCAGAGATGGGAATGGTTTCTCTGTCCACCCTGCTGCCAGGTGTCATGACTGGGAGGTGCTGCCATGAACAGCTGGGCTCTTAGGAGGAAGCCATCCCTGGTTTGGGGACTATCTCAGTAGATGCCTGGCCAAGACATTGTCACAGGAACCTTTGATCTTGTTCCTAGGCACCACACCAACCCTGTGGGCACCGAGTGGCGGTGGAAGATGGACCAGCCTGAAATAATCTTGGAGGGCGCTGTGGAAAACCACCTGGACATGATGAAGCAGTTCAGAGGTATTCTGCAGAGGGACAGCAGTACCACTTGGAGCCTGAAGCAGTGTGGTGGGGGGATCGCCTCTTTGGGGTGTTTCGCTCTGCTGGAAACTTCCCATAGGGAAGCAAAAACATTGTAGAAATATTCTATGTATCTTAACCTTTAAAAATTTTAAATTTTATATTCCACTTGATGGAAAAACTGAAAATTCAACCTAAAGGCTAGCAGCTCGATCTGTAAGTTTTGCCTGGGAACATATCATCCTTCCTGAGATGCTTTGCCATTGCTCTGTCCTGGTGGGCACAGCCTTATGAATGGCCTGGGAGTTTTAGGTCATAGGAAAGTTCTTAAGTAATATCAGACAGTACTGGAAAAGCTTTTGTGGTTGAATGCCTTATAAAAAAGGAGGGATCATATCGAAAGTTTTTTTTCACATAATCTATAGTAATACAGCAAAAAATCTGCCACTCAGTTTCTAGAATTTTCTGATTCAATTCTTTTTTTAATTATATTTAAAAGATATTTGAATCTACTAGAGATTCTTGGTCTCAAAATCTATTGTGTATCAGAATCACCTGGAGAGCTTGTAAACACAGGGTGAATTCTGTGAGTCGGAGCTGGAGCCTACCCGAGCACCGCTTTGCAGAGCTGGGGTTTCGAAGAGGTGGCTTCATCAAGCAGTGACTATGAGTGATGAGCTGAGTGTGCTCCCGTGCTCCCCACCACGTGTCTTATCGCCTCTATTCCATTTCTTTCCACATTTGACAGTAAAAAGATTCCAACAGAGGTTGCTCTGATTTCTTCCTGTGGTGTTAACAAAATGATTCCACATCAATAATAGTTCACACAAAGCAGTCAATAAAGTTTTGCCTTGTTCTTTATGAACTAGGGAGAATAGACCTGTACATGTTTGTTTTCATTTACATTTGCAGAGATGCTCATAAGTATTGTAATTTTTYGCCTTGACTTTTAATCTGAATCATTTTTTATGGTGGGGTGGGGATAGATTGCTTTCTGTTATTTGGATAAAACAGGGTCTCTTACCAGACTTTTGCGAAATTAAATGAAAGTGTTGGTAAAGAACAATAAGTCTCAACTGGAATTTGACTACCTTTTCTTAGCCTTTTTGTTACTTTAGTTAATAGTGATTGTTGATCTTCAAATCATATACACAGTATGTTTAAAGGTAGCATCTTGTTTTTTTTCTGGATAGTATATTCAGGGTTCTCTGGAGAAACAGAAGAGCGTGTTTCAAAGAATAGATTGAGAAAGAGATTGACTTGTTTATTGTAAGAAATTGGCTCCTGCAACTGTGGGAGTTCTGAGAGCCCCAAATGTGATCGGCTTGGCTGGCAGGTTGGGGACCTGGGAAGGGGATAGGCAAAAGTCCCAAGGCATTCTGCTGGCAGAATTCTTGCTCAGGGAGGTCCATCTTCACCTGATTAGATCAGGTCTCTCCACTTTATGGAGTGTAATTTGCTTTACTCAAAATCCACCAGTTTTAATCCTATCTAAAAAACATCTTTGCAGAAACATCCAGAATAATGTTTGACTCAGCATTGGGCACTATGGCCCACCTAATTTGACACATAAAATTAATTGTTACAAATAGTAATGTCAGAAGCAGGAAATACCAGGATTTTTTCCTTTTTTTTCTCTACTGAGTGTACTTTTGGTATGTTCTTGAGGAGCTAGCTAAACCCTGGTGGGGACTTATTGCTGGAAGCCCTGAATCTCCTGGACGGTTGTGTCCCAGGCGGTTGCTGCAGGAAGAAGCAGCCCTGGGGAAAGCTGTTCACTTGGGTAGAATTTTCTCAGGGTGTCTCCTTGCTGAGATGCCCTTGGTACAGAATGGCATTCTGAGTTCTGATAGTAATTTTTCTGACAGAAACATTTTTGCAAATGCACTTTAAATGGAAATCAGTAATGAATAAGTCATGGAGTTGACTTTGACATGTTAGTGAGGCGTGTTGGGTGAGTTCACAAGAGCACAGGTTCTGGGTCGTCCGTCAGACCGGCTTGGGGGTTTGTACTGTGCAGAAGGTTCCAGAGGCGTAGGAAGCCAAGGCAGTTTTTCAGTGAGTGCTGCCTTCCAAAGGGATAACTGGCTGTGGCTTGCAGAGAGCAGGGGCATAGCTGAGGGACTGCTTAGCTGGCTTAAGAGTGCACGAGGTGGCGTCCCGCTGTCACCAGATTTTCTCCTAAGAATGGCTTGCTAGGGTGTCACCTGGGAAAATCTCACAGAAGGTGCTTTCTTTTATTCCTTAATTGATTGACTTTGGAAAGTGTTACCACATCAGCAAAACATTGACTCAACAGTAACTTTGATGGAGAGGTTTTCCAGGAGGGCCTGGGAGACCTCAGCTCTTCATCTTACCACAGCAGTTTCTCTATCCACCAACAGGAGGTGGTGTGGGTGAAGGTGTGGTGGATGTGGGGAACCAGGCACGGCTAGCTCCTCCCGCCTGTGTTTTCATAATGAATGCCAGCTCCCTTCCCCTCCAGTTTGGGGCCCTGGAGGCTGTTTACTGCTTCTTCCCTCATTCTGAGTCAAAATAAGCCACATTGGTTTTTGAAAATCTGGCTTCCTTCTCTAATTGCTGCAGTGAATCTTGCTGTGAAACTACAGTATTAGAAGAGGCAACAACTTGATTGTTGAGGAGTTGACGGGGCACCGGGAGGGGAGAGCAGGGCATGGGGCTATGGGAGGGTGAGGTACCTGCTAGAGCTAACAGCAGAGCCACCAGTGTAGCTGCTGTGAYGCGTCACTGCCCACGCTGGCCTTCACCAGTGGTCATCCTCTTTCCCATCAGCCTGGGCCCTGCAGTGAGATCTCCCCTTTCTTCAGCCTCAGGGGAYCAGGTGCAGGTAAAACAGGCCACCTCCTTTCTGGCTGCTTAGCTTCAGGCGAGGGTCAAGGGACACACTGCCTCTTCTGAGCCCGGCCCGGCACCCTCCCCTGGCTGCAGGTTGAAATCTGGCTTCTGTTCATGTCCTGGTGGAGGCTCTTCTGGCTTCCTCGCCCTGAGCTCCTTGTGGAGATTGGCCTGGGGAAGAGGCCCSGCCCTGTGACAAGGAGCTGCCCTCTTCCAGGTGCCCTGCAGGACCCGCCTCTGTCTCTCTTCCAACACATGCTTGAATTTCYCCTGTTGAAGCCCCCATGCTGCTGCCCTGTGCCCTTCGTGGCTTAAAAGGAAAAAACAAAAACAAAACAAAACAAAACAAAAAACAGGGCAAATAACCCAGAAGAAACGTGTGTTTCTGGCTTCCTTAGTTGGAATTTAGAGCACATTTTCCCATAGTGAATAGTATTGGAATTTGATTAGATCATATTGTAGCGGTTTATCAGTATTATGGTTTAGGTACATTACAGATTAGTTTGGTGTTTGGGGATTTGTTATGTTCATTAATTTACATATAGTAGCATTGTATCTGTGGGAATACAGATTTTAGACTTAAAAATGCTTAGAAACAGATGTCTTTTGTAAATTGGAAAGTACACTATTTTAAAGGCTTGAAGCCTTTCTTGGCTTGTTATGTTCCAGGTATGTCCACTTTGGCCTCTCTGTAGAGGTCCACTTTTTAGCTTGCTAAGAACGTTCTTTGCCCTGGCATGGAGTCCTTTGTTTTCTAGAGGGGAGGAATACTTGCTTTTTGCCGTGGGTCTGGTTCATTTGTGGTTTTATTTTGGAGGAYGGGACCACTGTTGCTGCCCATTGTGTTGAAGTTTCCAACTTGAGCCAAGTGGCCAGCCTTGAGCACATTTTGAAAACATTCTCTGATTTTTTTTTTAATGCTCCCCTTCTGTGCTGCTGTTCTCAGTTCTGAAGGCAATCATCTTTCTTCTCATGACTGTGTTAGCTTTCCATTTATATACATGCACAATTAGCTCTGTATTGATTAAAAGTGGGTCAGAACTTCACTGTGAGTCAGCATTTTTCCAAAATGCTGCTGCCCCTTCTGACTGCCCTTGCGGAGAGCAGCAGCTCAGTACTCATGGAGTAAAACTGCTGTCCACAGCAACCTGGGTCCTGAAAATTCAGAGTTGAAAGGATGCATTTTGTGCCAGATGCTCATCTAGAGTGACCTCGGAGGAAGGGTCTGCTCTGTGGCTTTGACAAGCCTGGTACACAGACGGGAAGGGGGAGGAGTGCACCACCTGCTGGTGCCCCTGAGCATGCCTGTGCAAAGCCTCAGTGCAGGTGTCTGTGTCAGATGTATCTGTGATGTCCAGCCCGAAGGCTCAGGAAGGGTTGAAGAGGACATTTTATTTCTGATTAGCCAGGTTTGAATGCGGGAAGCTGAACCACTGGCTTGCTCGTATGTTGGTCTGTGGGTTGTGTGGTTTGTTAAGAGGAGCCGGGAGCCCTGAGCTCTTGCTCAGGCCTCTTCCTTGAGAGGTGTGACCTGATGACCTGCTGAGAGCCACAGCCTAGTCGGAATGACACATGGCGGTTTTTTTTTTTTTTTTTTTTTTTGCCAGAAGGGAGTGGTTGAGAGGTGATGCCAGGGAGCCATTGAGATGATGATGGTTATGTTAAGCTGTGTATTCAATTGTATATTGGACCCCTGCTGCCCGCTACTTTGGTTGGAATCCCCAACCAACACTAGAACTCCAAAGTAGCGGGCAGCAGGGGTCCAATATACAATTGAATATACAGCTTAACATAACCATCATCATCTCAATGGCTCCCTGGCAATTATGGGTGGTGCTTCCTTGTCTCGGATCAGGCTTTGTTTAAAACCATGGTTCACTTGAGTTAAGATCTTAGATCTCCCTGGATGTAACCCCTGCAGCTTGGAGGCTAAGGCAGGAAGATTGCAAGTTCAAAGCCAGCCTCAGCAACTTAGCAAGACCCTGTCTCTAAATAAAATATAAGAAAGGGCCAGGGATGTTGCTCAGTGGGTAAACACCCCGGAGTTCAATTCCTGGTATTAAACAAAAAGATCTTAGATCCTCATAGTCCAAGAAATGATTCATCCAGAAATACTGCTGTGACGTGTGCTTAGAGGGATGGGTGTCCGAGAGGGCACCACCTGTCACCTGGGTTCTGCTGAGGGCAGCCTGCACCTCCTGTGCTGGACTTACACTCGCTCACTTAAGGTGGGTTTTATTTGTGTGTAAAATAGAATTACCTCCTGAAAGCTGAGGCACAGCTGGTCAGTGAAAGTTCCTCCTCTTCACGTTCTTGGCAATGCGGGATGGGAGTGTGGTACTCTGGTCATGATTGTTGTGGATGCCAGTCATTGACGTCACGAATTGGAGGAAAGTGGCAGCAGCAAGTCCCTCATGAGTGCTTCTTGTGTGCCGGGCTCTCAAGATCCCACCCTACTCTTGCTGTATATTTTTTGATTAGTATCAAAAAATGAATTTATTCTCTRAAACCAAAGAATCATTAAGGAAAGGCAGTGTCCTCGGTCAGTGCCTTCCTTGACTTGTTCCTCTCCTCTGTGTCTGTCCTGCAGGAGTACCAGGTGTCAAAGCAGAGCGGTTTGAAGAAGGAATGGAGGTTAAGCACTGTGCACTGTCCCTCGTGGGAGAACCGATAATGTACCCTGAGATCAATAGGTTCTTGCAGCTACTCCACCAGCGCAAAATCTCCAGTTTCCTCGTCACAAACGCACAGTTCCCTGAAGAAATCAGGTGAGTAGTGCAGCCTGTTGTGAAAGCTGTTTGGATCTGTGTGACTGTAGAGTGAAACCCATAGGCTCCAAGACATTGGAAGGGATTGATTTGCTTACTAYGTACCCAACTCAAGAACGTGGACCTGGTCCTGCTTGTCAGAACCCATTCCAGAAAAGATGGCATAAGTCAGTGGACATGTGAGCTATGAAGGTGGTTGCTGAAATCCTGGGAGAATTCCTGCAACTGCAAAGCCTGGCAGAGACCTATTGGAGAGTGTTGTCTGTGGGCATACCTTCCTCTGAAGCAGAGCATCCTGCCAGCTTGGGAAGAATGTGTACGCCCAGGAGTTGAGGGTTCGTGAACCGTGGCAACCTCCTGCCTCTGGTCTCTATAACAGAAGATGTGAATACTCTGCTCCTGTGCTTCTGTGGATGCCCCACTGCAGAGGGAAACACTGGAAAGAAAATTGCAGTTGCAGGGACGTGTGCAGATGTTTCTTCTTGCTTTTCRGAGAGCGGCACAGCAAGAGGACTTAGGTGTGCAGGTGGTGTGCGTGGGTCTTAAACAGGTGCAGAGCTCTCTCATACTAGGGATCCGAGCATTGCAGGCTTTGGCTTCCAGAGATTTGGGTCCTTGTGGGTGACCAGTCCCCCAAGGATACCRAAGGTCAGATGTAGTTCGAGGAAAGCTTAAAAGTAGGGCAGTGAGTGTTCCCTACAAGATACTGGATCATGAACCATAGGTTTCTGAAACAACTCTGGAGCCAGCTAGTCCTGAGATGGCCTCCACTTCTGTTTCCATCATCAGTGCTCCTCCGATGTGAGCCAAGGCCCCCACCATGCTGTGCCTAAGAGACCAGGAAGAAAGTGGTTCTCAGTGCTCATTTCTGAGAACTGGAAGGTATTGAGATGCCAGTTGTCTCTGGGGTCTTCATTTCTTTCAGGGAAACGAGGCTGCAGACTGAATCTTGGAAGCTCCATGTGTTCATGGTGCAGCTGCACTCAGCGGGTCAGCGGTCAGTGGTCAGCCCAGGCAGGCAGCTCTAGGCGAGCATCATGCAGCCTTTTCTGGTCTGAGCTCACAGGAGGACGTGGTCATGCTGCCTGGGTGACTGGGTGCCTTACAGGCTGGATATTTGTGTCTTTCTAGAAGAGCCTGGCTGTGTTGGTGGCTTCCCCGCCCTACCTGGTGGCCTTCTTGAGGTCTTCAACTTTCCCAGGAGGGTTTCAGTACTCCAGGTGCAACTGTGCTGCTCGCTGACAATGACCCTCCCAGGGGCGTTGTCCAGTGACAGTCCTGCAGGGCTTATGGGCAAGAGCTCCATGCCGCCCTCACTAGCTGTGGTCGCAGTGTGGAGGCAGATAGGAGGGAAAGGACGAGCCGCACTGCCCAGTAGCTTTGTCCTTCTGTCACAGCTGAGGCTAACGAAAGCTTGTGCTTGGTGCTAGTAATAGAGCAGGGGTGGCTGGACAGGAGGGATCCACTCCTGAGCAGCGTCTTCTCAGGCTCACAGAACACGAGTTTCCATGGGGGTCTTTCTTGGGAGTGTCACTGATCTGCTTTAGTGGGTATTGTCACTAATGCTGTCTCTAGCTACCTGATATGACCTTTCCTTCTGCTCCTAAGTATGAGCMGTGCAGTTGTGTGGTCCTGGCCAGCTCCGCTGGTCTCGGTGTGCTCCTGGGTCAGTCAGTGGATCCACTGGGCTGGCCGAGTTAGGATGGCCTTGAGACCACTGGGGTCCACATTCATGAGTTCTGGCAGGCTTCTCTGGACTCCTGGGCAGGGTGCCAGCAAGAGAGAGCGCCTTTCTTGGCGCTGGAATCGCCTGGGATCGCCTGGCCATGCTGTGTGTCCAGCTTCTGGGGATGCTGCAGGCACTTTGTCCTGTCGCTCCCAGCTCTGAGCATTTGCCTGCCATTCTCCTGAGGCCACCCTTGGCATGATCTGTGCTGTCTTCCCCAGGAACCTGGTGTCCTTCATGGGCTGGCTTGCCTTTCAACTTATTCGTTACGCCGTTCTTAATTCCCCAGTTAACTCCGTCATTCTTTCCCATTCTGCTCGACTACTTTGGTCATGGTTTTGGGGTACCTATTCATTCATCTCTTGCTCCCCCCAAGGTGAATGTTTAAGGCTGAGCACTGTGTCTAGTGTCCAGTTTAAGCCACCTCCGAGCGAATGCTCAGTACATGAGCCTATGGAAAGAAGTTGAGTTTAAATTTTTTTTTTGAAGTTTCATACAATTCACAATTATAATTTATTTATTTATGTTTTCTAGTGAAACTTTTTATTTGTTCTAATTAATTATACATGACAGCAAATAAAGTGAAGAGAGAACCTGCAGAGGGGAARAAGACCGAGCACTAGCATTTCTCTCTGAAGAGTGGGTGTGGGCTTCTCTGGTACTTGGCGTGATGGTCCACCTCTCACAGTCTGTGGGCTTCTTGGCCTTCTGGGTTTACAGYGCCATGTGCCACCCAACACCGCAGCCCTGTGGGTGCCCCGCTGTGGGAGAATGCTGGCCTTGGGTGGGGCCAGGACCTGCGCAGGGCCTCTGGGATGCTCCAGTCTCTGGCTGACAGCTGTGCTCTGTGGTCTTTTTGTGGGCCACTTGGCCTCCTTGGAACCTCCCTGCTTGGTTGTGGGGACTCAGCTACCTGAGGGAGGGGTGAAGGGGGCACAGTGCCCCGCAGCCTGCGCACCTAGCAAGTAGCAGAGGGGTCTCTCCTCTTACTACTCTCTGTCCTCACCTAGATTATTGGCCTGATCTGATGGCCGCAGGTGCCTTAGTGTTGAGTTGTCACTGCGTTTGATGTTGGGGCCACTATGGCTGTTTTTTCGTTTTGAGAGGAAAATGAAACTTACTGTTTACTTGGATTTCTAACAAACATAAATTTCTCCCTGCTTTGTTTCTTTCTACAGATACTGATAGGCCTCATTCTGCCTTCCAAAGAATATAGCTCGGAAGATAGAATGAGTCACTAATGTCTACTGAAAAAAGAAAAGGGAGAGGGACTTTTTATTTGTTGGTACATTCCTTTATTTTCTTATTCTTAACTCAGTCTTAAAATCAGGACGAGGGTCACCACGGTCAGCACTTGAGGAGTCGCTGCACATTTGGACTGGTTGTTGGTTTAAGGTTGAATATCCTAAATATTACCCTTTTTTGTTCTCAGCATTGATGGTGAGGTTTTCAGACACAGGAGTTGTTATGATGACATAGTGATATCACACTCTGCTTTTTGGAARCTTAAATGCTGTTGTCTCTGTAGAGATGGGTGACGTGTCAGGGGCCTCGTTGACATCATGGAGGATAGAGGCCAGTAAGAGGCAGAAATAAGATCCCTGGGACTGAGAAGGTGTCTCCCTGGTCCCTTTGCTGCTGCTGAGCACCTCAGAAATGAGCTGTGAAGTCCCAGGGGCCTCTGCTCCCCTCTGTCTGTCTTTGCTCCCTGGCATAAGGTCTGCACAGTTCTTTGACAAATGTCTCGACAGCGGCGTGGATCCATGTTCCTTCCTGTACTGCGGGTGTCCAGGGCTCGCTCTCGTGTAAATGATCGATGTTTGCACACTGAGTTTGACCTTTGGAGTAGTTATGAAGGGTGGGGAGAAGGCCAGGAAGTGTTGTGGCAAGTCCTGTGAGTATCAGGTGCGGACAGCCAGCAGGACCATTAAGACAGTCAGGTCCTGTTCTCTACTGGTCAGGCAGCACAGCTGTGTCTGTTAGAGAGGCCTTCGGGGATGGGCTGAGGAGACAGGGGCGGGCCTCCATGGCCATGCTGCTCTTCTGCACTTTAGTAAGTGATGGCCTTTGCTCACAGTGACATGTCCTGAAACTCTAAGGCTTCCCCTTGCGTATCAGTATTGCAGAAGGCTTAAAATGCATAGTATTTTTTGGGGGGAGGGGTACTAGGGATTGAATCCAGGGCACTGAATATCCCTAGTCCTTTTAATTTTGAGACAGGGTCTTAGTAAGTTGCTAAGGCTAGCCTTGAACTTGGGATTCTCCTGTACCACTGCATATAGCTTCTTTTTTTKGTGAGGATGGGTACTGGGGATTGAACCCAGGGGCACTTAAGCCACATCCCCAGCCCCCTTTTATGATTTTGTTTAGAGACAGGTTCTCACTAAGTTGCTTAGGGCCTCACTAAGTTGCCCAGGCTGGCCTTGAACTTGTGATCATCCTGCCTCAGCCTCTTGAGCCACTGGGACCACAGAAACAGTTAGTATTTTCATCACCTTTTTCTGCCTCTGGTCAGCTCTTCTGCATTTGGTAAGATTGGGTCTGGCATCTCTGACTTTCCTGCATGTCACTTAGCTGATCATGGCACATATTTGCTTGGCTTACTTTTCCTTAAAGATTCTGCCCACTGATGTCAACAACGCCCACTAAAAGGTAGCTTTAGGAACCTGTGTATCTGTGTGCCAGCCCTTCAAGGTTCTTCACCCAATGACTGATCAGGCTATAAAAAGCACATAACCACTGTGTGGCATAGGAATTATATCTGTTTTTTGTCTTTGTGTTTTGTACTGGGGATTGAACCCAGGGATGCTTTACCATTGGGCCACATCCCCTGCCTGTTTTACTTGTATATTTTGAGATGTGGTCTTGCTAGATTACTTAGGGCCTCTCTAAGTTGCCCAGGCTAGGCTTGAACTTGTGATCCTCCTGCCTCAGCTTCCTTAGCTGCTGGGATTACAAATATCTCTATTTTAAGTGTGCATGGACTTTGAAACAAAAAGCATGTGTAAATAACATTGTAGGGGTAAATGTGGAATATGTGTGGAACAGTTATAGAAAATCAACAGTGGGAGAATTTTGTCAGAGGCTTATTAAGGGGGAAATCCTGTCTTCTTTGCTGGTTAGTTTTAAATTCACCACAGAGAGTAAGTTATGAAACCTATTTGAAAGGAGAAGGGGAGAGATTTTGGGATATTTGCAATTTAGATATAAAGCATAACTTGCAAAAAATCCAGCAGCTAGAAGTGAAGTAAGCCAGTGAATTTGAGAGATGAGCTCATGAGAGGTGGGAATCTGTTTCTCCTCTGGGTGGCRCAAGTGCTGGGTCATAGCCCTGCTATCCTGGCTCCCCTTTCCTGCACCTCCCCAGCTTGACTTAACCCCTGCTCCCCCCACACGTTGGAAGCTCAGGAGTAGAGCGGGAGCTTTGGGTTGTCCCTGGTTCCTTGGAAGACTTCCTTCTGTGAGTTAAAGGTCTCAGGTGGCCATTGGCACAGACCCTGTGAGTTAGGAAGCGATAGCTGTGCAGGTCTGAGGGCGGTGGTCGTGGGAAGGGAGGTCCCAGGGCCCCCTGATTGTGCTGGGCTGGTGCTGCCAGGCCTGAAGTTGGGTTCTGTTCTGTTTTCCACTAAAACCCCGTATTTGAATGAGTGATTAATGGTTTCCATTTACCAGGGGTGGTGCTGGCCGAGGGTGTGTTGCTTGGGTCGGTGTGGTCACTGCAGCTGATAGCCTGTGTTGCTGCCTGATGGAGGCATGATCTAATTTTTTTTCCCTTTTAATTGAAGAAAGCTCAAGCCGGTCACTCAGCTGTATGTCAGTGTGGACGCCAGCACCAAAGACAGCCTGAGGAAAATCGACCGCCCGCTCTTCAAGGACTTCTGGACCAGGTTCCTGGACAGTTTAAAAGCCTTAGCAGAGAAGGTAAGAATCCGACTCCCTGCAAATGAGCAGAGGAGGAAAGAGAACCCAGAGTACTGTTTCCTCTGAAACCAACTGAGCGGATGTGGTCTTGCTAGATTACTTAGGGCCTCACTAAGTTGCCCAGTTGTCCCCCACCACGGGGGGACAGTGAGTGTTGGCTCCCCTGTGCTGGCACTGTGCTGGGAGAGTCCTTCGCCCTGCGTGTGTGTAGGGAGAGGTGCGTGCACTGCAGGGGTTGGTAACGGCACATGGTTAGGTAGCCGAGCACAGCAAACCCAGGGGAGGTGTCGGCAAATGGCGTCAGTTCAGAATCAGTGTTGGCTTGATTGCGCTTCAGGGACCAGGCTTCCTGTCTTGTAGTGACTTGGCCTCAGGTGGCCACTGTAGTTATTTCTCCTGCGACAGTTGGCCCTTCTGTGTGTACTCTCTTGATGTCCTTTCCTTTCCTTCCTTCTGGTTATTTGTTTTTTTAATGGAACTGGGGACTGAACCTAGGGGTGCTTTACCACTGAGCTAGTCTAGGGTCTCGCTGAGTTTTTGGGGCTGGCCTGGAACTTGCAGGCCTCCTGCCTTGGCCTTCCGGGTTGTGGGGATCACAGGGGTGCCCCACCGTGCCTGGCTTGGTTCTTCTTTTCCATCAGCCCTGTCTGTGGGGCTGGCACTTTGTGTCAGTTCTGCCTCTGGGCTTCCCTCACAGCCCTTTGCTTTTGCTTTTCTCTCTGCCTTTGCTGTTGTCACTGGCCCTCTGTTTTAGTAGCCTCCGAATTGATCTCCTTTCTTGCTGCTGCCTTTTGAGCCATTGTGAGAGCCGTACTCCACATCTGCCTGGTGAGAAGCACCATAGGAGCTGAACATTAAAATTTCCTCTGTGTTATGACTTTGAGCGTGATGTATCCCCCTAAAAGCTCATGGGGTGATGCAAGAATACTGAGGGGGGACTGGTTAGATTAGGAGTGGTGGCCTCATCCGTGGCTGAAGCTGTGTGGTGGATTAATAATGTGGGTGGCCCACTGGGTGGCAGCTGTGGGCAGTGGGGCATGGCTGGAGGGTGTGGGATCCTGGGCCTGCCTGGAGGGTGCACCTTCCCGACTGCCCTTGCCCTCTGGCTCTGCTTCCTGGCTTCTGGGAGCTGAGGACTTTCCTGTGCCAGGATGTGCCACCTCCCCTCAGGCTCAGACCGAACTTTTTCTCCTCTAAACGGTTACGTCTGGCAGTTTGGTCACAGTGATGAAAAGCTGACTGCACACTGTTGTTGGTATCATCCTGGTGTGTGTGTCACGGGTGACACTGGCCGTGCAGCCAGATGGGAAAGTCGCTGTCCCAGAAAACTCGCTGTGCTCCTCCACCCTGCTGTTAGATGCCGCTGACTTCACCCACACAGACCCATGTATATTTCCAGTCTTGCTCCTCATGGGTGCTGGGAATGTGCACCTCCCTGCAAGGATACCTCCCTGCACAGGCACCCAGCGCTTCCTGGCCTGAGTCTCGCCACTCTCGAGACCACAGTGTCCTTTCTTCCCACTGAGGGCTTAACTCTGTCCCTGCCTGTGCTGAGACCCCTTTTCCAGTACAGTATCTCCCCTTCCCGCCCTCCTAAGTTCCACCTATAAAAACACTGGCCTGCCTTTGCCCCAGCCACTTTCCTGGACTAGACTGCGGCCTCAGGTCTGGGTTCCTCACATGGCCAGCACAACACATTTTATGGCATTGGTAAGTGGTTTGTAGAAAGAATGATTGAGTGGAAACAGCAGAGCTTTATAGAGTGCTATATGCATTTTCCCACCCTCCAATTGCTTAATTCTGTTTTCTTCTTCTTCCTTTTTTTTTTAAATGTTTATTTTATTTTATTATTTTTATGTGGTGCTGAGGTTCAAACCCAGGGCCTCGCACTTATTAGGTGAGCGCTCTACTGCTCAGCCCCAGCCCCAGCCCCCATGTGTTCTTTTTTTTTTTTGTTTTTTTTGTTTGAGAAGTTAAATCAGTGCCTTTTTGGGTTATTAACACACATATTTAAGAAACACATTAAGGCACTACTTTGATTTTGCAGCTGTCTTGGACTCACACAGCCAGAAGGCCAAGTGCTCTTCAGGCTCCTAAAATGGACTCATCTCTGGACTTTGCCTTCAGCCACATCATCACCACCTGTGGCTGAGACAGGATATGCGTAGCTGGAAAGCTGGGATGTGTTTAGAGGAGCGTGAACACCAGGAGCTGGCACCCCCAGGCTGTGACTAGGCTGTGTCTTGGGTCAGAGTAGCAAGACTACAGAGGCATTAGCAGAATAGCTTAGGAGCTTCTTGTCTTACTTTGGCCAGCATTTTCTGCAGAATGATTCCTTATCTTGACATACCAGCTTTTGGATGTCCAGTTCAATTACAGTGACTTTGGGCTTACTAATTAATAGTGATGAGGTTGCTTAGAGTTTTATGGTACTGTCTGACCCAAGGACACCTTCAACTGGGCTTCACTCTGGTCTTCTCATAATTCCAGCTGGGAAGGTTTCCTTGGGCTATTTAAACTATTAAGGCAGGTGCTTTCTAAGCATTTTGTAGCAATTACAGTTAATGTTTCTCATTCTTGAATTGTTTACGTAGTCATTTAAGAAAGAAGATCTAGGGCTGGGGATGTGGCTCAAGCCGTATGGCGCTCGCCTGGCATGCATGCGGCCGGGGTTCGATCCTCAGCACCACATACCAACAAAGATGTTGTGTCTGCCGAGAACTAAAAAATAAATATTAAAAAAAAAATTCTCTCTCTCTCTCTCTCTCCTCTCTCACTCTCTCTTTAAAAAAAAAATAAAAGAAAGAGGATGTGTGGCTGGAAACTGCTCTTTAAAGATTTTCTTTTAACTCCACCTTGTATTTATTTTGGACTATCTGATATGAGTGGATGCTATCAAGAAAGGTTTGCTTTACTGCTGACACACAAAATGAACATGGCGTAACTATATTTATTAGCTGTGGTTAAACATCAGTAACTCTGCTATCATTTGAGGTTTTCAATAGAAGTGCTATTTCAGGTATCTTAATTAGAATGACCCTAGTGTTTTTGCCTATTACTTGTTTGGGCTTTTTAGTGTGCCTGAACAAGAAAAAGCATTAAAGAATTGGAATTTGTTGAACTTCATGAACAAGGAAATTCGGTTTACTAAATTTCTAGCCTCCTTAGAAGCTGATGCTGCCCGAAGTAGGAGGTGGAGTAGTTTGTTTTTCCTCCTGGTAAGTATGGTGTTCACATTTCCAGATCTTTATCCTTTATCAAAATGTTCCTTTTCAATACGAGGGGAGAAATACATTGGTACTCTAGTATGTGGGGTCCAAAAGCCATTCTGTCAAGATAACAGGGCAAATTGGGTTAGCTTCGACTTTGGCCTGTTAGAGCTGCATGCCACACAGTCCTGTTTTCAGCAGAGAGACCCTCTTGTTCAAGACAACACTGCCTACCTTACCAGTGTGTTCTGCTGGCACGCAATGATGCCAAGGTCACGATCCAGCAGGAGGTGAGAATGATTAGTCCTCTTCTGTGTTGAAGCAATAACATCAACTTTCTTAAAACCTCCTATTTTAAAGAGAAAAAGGCCGACATCATTGYCTTCATTACATATTCTTGGCCATCAGAAGTGAACACCGGCTCTTCTCTGTGGATGCTGGTGCTCTGGCCTCACATCATGTGGCCCACAAGTGCAACTTAAAAGACATCGACTATTTGACCTCATCTCTGCTTATAGAAGCATTAGGTGCCAATTAGGGACATTTGGGGGAAGTAAAGCATGCTCACAGTCCTTAGTTTGATCCCTAGTACCACAAAAATAAAAAATGMAGATTAACAGAAATAATTCATTAAAAATAAAGAGTCAAGGCAAGAATTTAGCTGTAAGTRCAGGTCCTTGAGATGAGAACTATTCACAGTGACATCCGTCTGTTCAGCCCTCATTTGGGGAGAGCTGCTGCTTTGTGCCTGCCTGATTGAGCTCTGTGTACTGCTGTCACTTTGGTGGTCAGCATCATGCATGAGCGTGTCCCCATGCCATTGAATTCTCTGATATGCCTTGTGAGGCCACCTTGTCTTTCACTCTGCTCAGTTCCTGGATAGTTGGCCAGCAGCAGGGAGTAGCAACAGTGTGTGCTGTTTGTGCATGTCTCCCCCAGGGCCTACAGAAAGTAGGGTTCCTGTCCAGTGCCTCTGCTGTCTCTGAGTTGCAGTGTGTACATTGTGTCACTAACATCATAAAATTGTTTGTGGGCTGGGGATGTGGCTCAAGCGGTAATGCGCTTCCCTGGCATGCACGGGGTGCTGGGTTCCATCTTCAGCACCACATAAAATAAAGAAGTTGTGTCTACCGAAAAACTGAAAAATAAATATTAAAAAAAATTTTCTCTCTCTTAAAAAAAAAATTGTTTGTGACCAGGGATAGCATGGTATGTTTAACTCTAACCCTAACCCTAAAGCATCATTGCTTTCATAAGGAGAGGTGTAAAAATGACATTGTATTTGGGAATCTATGAAATGTCTTCTCTCCTTCCTTCCTTCACTCCCTCCCTGCCTGCCTCTGTCTGTCCTTCCTTCCTTCCCTCACTCCCTCCCTGCCTGCCTCCATCTGTCCTTCCTTCCTTCCTTCCCTCCCTCTGAGGATGAACCATTCTCTTCCCCAGGGTTCTTATTGACATGTTTTGGTTTGTTTCTTCGTTAATGTCACAATCTAGGCTTGAGCCCCTCTGGTCTGAATGTCTGTCTCTCACCACTCTTTCTCCTGCCCCTTTACCTGAATATACCTTTGGCAGCACTCTCCATGGGCAGAGGTCTCCCAGGACTGTTGGTTTCACCTCCTTGGCTTTAGTGCCGTTAACCCTGTTCTGCTTGGCTAAGATGGCATTCAGATTTTGGCCACTGCTGAAATCAGAGCAAGAATGCTGTGTGTGATCCAAAGCCAGTGCCTGCAAGCTGGGTTCTTCCCTCCACTTACAATAAGTTCTCTAGTGACCTAGGTTTCCTCCAGATCT